GGGGAGGGAAATGGGAGGCTGGGAGGAGGCGGAAACTTTTTTTTTCCTATTCTCAATAAAAAAAAAAAAAAAAAGAAACATGGCCCAACATGCCCCAGAAGTCAGCAGCACACTGAATTCTGAGGTAGCATGAGTAAGTAGCTGACCCATGGAAGGATGAGTCTGAACTCCCCAAGTCTCCTTCCATGTGTTCCCTGGTGGTATGATTGCTCACTGTCGAATCTGAGGTAAAGCACTAATGGATCACAGTCGATAGGCTTCCACTATGCAAGGAAAACTGTCTCCATAGTGGGTCATCTCCATACTCTTTACTGACCCAAGGTATTGCTCACCTTTATCTTTCATAGTTTCCTGTATTTGTCTTGAGCCATCCAGTTGACATCTTGTGTCCTTGAAACATTTTGCGTGTAACTGATTATATATTTTTGTACACTATATCATTGTAGATCTCTGTGAATAAAAACTCCTGGAAAGAAGCCATGTCTGCAGAGAATTGATTGATTAGAATTTCAGTACTGTGGAGAGATTGGAATGTTGCAGATTGACAGGCTAATAACCTTCTCTCGGGCTAGTTGTAGGCATACAGAGCAGCCAGCCTACCTCAGTATTAGAAATAACATCTTATGACTAATCAAAATCTTTCGGAATCTATTAACTAATAGACTCCCAGCTTTCACAGCGCAAAAGCTAGCATCTTGGGGCTATACACAAATTTCTCCCATCTGGCTACTATTTCTGCCTCTAAAATACAACCCACCATTGTATTTTAAACTTGCCTCAATCTATGACTTTCTTTGTTCTGTGAAAGGATAAAACCTCATTAAGCTACTTCCATGTTGGAGCATGGAATTTGGGGTAACCTAAATCTGTGTTCCTGGGCCATGGTCACTCAAAATTACTCCAGAATAAACTAACTCTTTTTTAAAAATTGATTTTATTGAGCTATACATTTTTTCTCTGCTCCCCTCCCTTCCTCTCCCCTTCTTCATCCCTCTTCCATGGACCTCATGTTCCCAATTTACTCAGGAGATCTTGTTCTTTTCTACTTCCCACGTAGATTAGATCTATGTATGTCTCTCTTAGGGTCCTCATTGTTGTCTAGGTTCTCTGGGACTGTGATGTAGGCTGATTTTCTTAGATTTATGTTTAAAAACCACTTATGAGTGAGTACATATGATATTTACAACAAATTAGGTACTTCAAAAAATTCAAAAACACTTAAAAGGCAAAATAAAAGCTTGGTATGTTGTTGGTCTCTCTTATCGTATGCTCCAAGGCTGTAACTATAGAATATCAAATGGTTGAAACAAATCCATGGTGGTTTTCTATGCTCCCAGAATATTTTCTCTAAAATATAATAAATATACAACCAACATACCATCTCCCACTTCAGAATGTGATATTTCCCATAAAACATGAATAATGAAGTTTAGAATTCTATTAACTCATAGACTCACTTTGGGTAAATATTGACAAAGTCCTGAGGCTCCTTTATCAAGTAGAAGAGCTGGAGAGCATTTTCTCAGCTTGTAATTCTGCCCCAGACATCGCTCCCTACCCCCATCCTTAACTCTCAAAGAAGATAACTCTATAAAATATTTACACTGTTTTAGAAGTAGTTGGATAACATGGGCAGGTAAATCGAAAGTCATATATGGCAGTGAATGCTTTGAAATAAGGTGGCATTTTAAAATAAGATATAATTTTATGATATTATAATAATGAAAATATTATGATATTATAATAATGATACTCTGGGATGCATTGTGCCTCATTGCAGACACACTGATATTCTTTTCTTATTCACATTAGGCTACATTATTTTCTCTGTACATGGCTTTAGTATTTTTCTTGTATTAAAGATCGAAGAAGCATCCATATTCTAGGCTTTATCTTTCAGAGGCAGGTATCTTCAGTTTATTTCTCATAGAATTAACATACCAACCTAGAGTTACATCATCTTGGTGAGCTGAATTTCCTGATGTAGATGCTAGTTCCAAGATAGAACTAGCATGGATTCTTTCCTATCCCGTGGGTTTCTGCTTGGCTGGATTGTTTTCTTAGCTGTACAGTTTTTTTTTTTTTTTTTTATGAAGTCCCAGTTAGTTAGTTGTTAGTTGGTGGCCTTAATTCCTGGGCAAATAGAGTTCTGTTCAGAAAGTCCTTTCCCACCTGTATTGTGTAGGGTGTTGCCCATGTTTTCTTTTCTTTTTTCTTTTTCAGGTACTCAATATCTATTGTAATATACAAAGATTTTAACAGAATGTTGCTTACAAAAAGTTTTACTATTATATAAAGTACAAAATTTTATTACACTGAAAACATTTATAGGATTACTCTGCAGTATGAATTTTCTCATGATTTAGATTATTCATACATGCAAATGCTTTTCCACACTGATTACATTCATAGAGTTTTGTCCAGTTGTGATCTTTCATGCATTTGAGTACTGTGAAGTGAAAAGGCTTTACCATACTCATTACATTCAGAGGGTTTCTTTCCAGCATGTGTTAGTTCATGTGTTTGAAGATGACTGTGATAAACAAAGTGTTACCACACAAATTACAATCATAACGTTTCTTTCCACTATTGGTTTATTTTATGTTTTCAGAGACTTCTGTGACATGCAAAGGCTTTACCACACTGATTACATTCATAGGGTTTCTCCCAGTATGGCTTCTTTTATGTCTTTCGAGACTACTATGACGAGTAAAGGCTTTACCACACTGATTACATTTATGGGGCTTCTCTCCAGTATGACTTCTTTCATGCCTTTGAAGATTACTGTGTTGTGCAAAGGCTCTACCACACTGATTACATTCATAGGGTTTCTCTCCAGTATGGCTTCTTTCATGACGTTGTAGATGACTGTGACATGCAAAGGCTTTACCACAGTGATTACATTAATAGGGCTTCTCTCCAGTATGTGTTCTTTTATGCATTTGACAATGACTGTGACGTGCGAAGGTTTTACCACATTGATTACATTCATAGGATTTCTCTCCAGTGTATGTTCTTTTATGCATTTGAAGATGACTGTGATGTGAAAACACTTTACCACACTCATTTTCTTCATAGGGTTTCAATCTAGTATGTGCTTTTTCATGCCTGTGAAGATGACTGTCACATGCAAAGACACACAAAGTATATAACACACTGAGTATATACAGAAGTTTTCTCTCCACTTTGACTTCTTCCATGCCTTTCATGTCTTCTAAAACTTTGACAATTTCTTCAATATTATGGTCTTCCCAACTGTATCCTATACTAGTGAGGTTCCTGTAGTTCTCCCCCATCACATCTTTGTAGAGATTCTTCTGGGAAGTATCCAGCAAAGCCCATTCTTCCAAAGTGAAGTTGACATGCACGTCATCATAGGTCACTGCATTCTAAAATATCCCATACCACATTATCGTTTTCCAGCTTGTACATGCTCCTTGCTCAGCTTCCTGCACTCACAGCAGAGCACACAAAACCACTGACATGGACTTCTCCTCAAAGTCAAGCTTGAAAATCGCCCATGTTTTCTTCTAGCAGTTTTAGTGCTTCAGGTTCTAAATTGAAATATTTGATCCATATAGATATAATATTTGTGCAGGGTAAAATTTGACTTGTAAAATTTGAATTCTGATTAAACTTGCCTGTGACATTGTTGCCGTGTGACATTGTTGTTCATCATCCTCCAGTGTCTTCTTCAGACAACACCTACTGCTTGAACATACTAACCAAATCAAGAATATGCTAAACAAGTATTTTCTTTGTGGTACATTCTAATATAAAAACATAAGGCATTAAGTTTCTGGTTTTTATAGCTGAGTATGTTGACGAGTAAAGGGAAATTTCTCCTCTCTTAAGACTAATAAAAGCTTCAAATAGAAATAAACCAAGGTCTAGGTTAAGAGAATATTTTATTTGAAAAAAGATGTTACAATAAGAAGAAAATTCCAAATTCAAGACTTGCAAGTGTGTCAAAATCACACAAAGAAAACCTTTTCCTTACAGAGAAGGGCAAACAGAGCTGGACGCATCATCAACAGCAAGTTGGGTAAGTGAGTGGAAGCAAGTGGGGTGAACAGGGTGGATGATGAGAAATATTTTTTAGCATTGATCACAGTGTTCCAGAAAATGGGGACTTAATGAGGCAAGCTTTTCATATATTTATTTTATTATTTGCTCAGATTTGAGACAAATCAATGTAGGATAGTAGCAGGTAGTGGGGCCCCAAGTTCAACTGTTTTTGCAGACGAGTCAGCATATGAAGAAACTGGTTGGTAAGAAGGAAGGAAGGCTGGAACGTCTCGGGCTGAGGCCAGTTAGTTTGCTACTGCTCCAGGTCCAGAGGCCCAGCATAGTGAAAATGAAACATAACTCAAAACGGTGTTTTGATCTCAGAGGAACAGTGAAGGTGCCAGTGAGATGTGAAATGCATGAAGTTGTGTGCAGAAAACTACATGGAACAGACAGTGTGCACCAGGCAACCCATGGTATGTAAGTCCCCCCTCCCAACTCTCTACAATGGGGCCAATTGAGTTGCTAAACTTTCACTTTTGACTGGACACAGTGCCTCTCTTGGAAGTCTAGCTTTCCAATAAGGTGTCCTTGTTTCTGCTGCTCCCCAGAGCCTTGTTTCAGGACACAGGGTTCTAGATTCCTCTGTAGGTGCCCATAAAACCCGCTATCCATCTATATAAAAACGTCCAGAGACCTGCAGGGAGCTGAGATTTCTGACTAAGGTTTGGCTAAACTTAGTCACTAGGTAATAGGGATAACCATGAGCATTGGCCAATAGCATGCTACAATGCTATTTTTAAATCTAAATTAGGTCATGTCTAAAAACATGTGTAAGTAGGTGTCTATCAAGTACAGGAGACTATATTATGAAAACTGAGAAATTCTGAGATAGCCTTACCAATATGGCACTGGTTCACAGTTGTAACTGACCACAGAGAACATTGCATTCTACAACACTTGAATATCCTTGTCTCTTGCTTCTGGGGATGCTTTAGCGAGTGAGGGTAACATAATAAGGCAATAGAAAGAAAGTTTAACAAAGTTGCTAACCTACAAAACTAAGTAACCCAGAACAGTCTGTTTTCATTTGGTTCTTTCTTACTTTTAAAGTAAGTTATGGAAATAAAATATTACAGTGTATGCATGTGTGTGTGTGTGAATGCATATGTGCACATGTGTGTCTTAACATATCACTGACAAGAGCAAATAGTCAAGAAGTAGGGCAAGTATTCTATGCATGTCTTGAGCATCATTTGTTCAGATCATAAGTTAAGAAACTACTAAGTAGAACTGATCATTCAGCTCATGTGTAACTAAAGAAAGTGTCTGCTAATGAGGTAAGAAGATATATCTTTTTTCTTAAGAGACTGTCTATAGAATAAACGGATTGAGTCTATTTAGTATTGTTTTCCTATCAAGTGTAGCAAAGGAGAATGCATTGGAAAAGTTAACAAGCAATATTTCATTTGTTTACAGACAACATAGTAGATATCAAGTAGTATCTGTGAGTAATTACCAAAGAAATGCTTACAGTATCTGTGTGATAGCAACTTAGAGAGAAGAGAGAGCATGGTCAAAACAAATGAAATTACAAAAAGCTACTCAAAATTTCAATTCTCAAGAACTTATTTTTTTTTGATAATGTGTTACATATCTGTGTTTGCTATATATTTTGAAAACTAGATGTTAGAAACAAAAAAGGCATGAGTGGAGGTTTGTCTTTGTTTTGCCAAAGTTTAAATGTATCACTAAATAAAATATTTTCTAAAATTACTCCATGTTGCTAATTGAATTTTTGTTATAAAATGCTGGGCTCCCCTAAACCCAAGAAGCTAGATTCAGTCACACATCCATAATAAATTCATTATAGAGCCACTTCAACATTATAAAGAGATTTATTCAAGGTGGCGACATTGGGAAGAGGAACAGATAAAGATGGCTAGTGACACCGAAGTCCATCTTCAAGGTAATGTCTGCAAGTTTAGTTTTAAAAAGAGTTTAGGTTTAAAAGGTATATATAATTAAATAGTCTGGGGCCTGGTAGTAGTCTACCCGTCAGTGAGCAATCATTCATCTCCAGTCTGTTTTGCAAGGTGGTTTGAGAAATTGTAAAATATTAATCCCTGAGAGTGCCATCTCTTCTTCACGGGTAATGATCCCCTCTGGGTGTGGTCTGTCTTGTGACACACCCTGTACTTGAGCTCCAGCTCAAGTAACTTGAGAGTAAAAGTTAAGGACAATCACTTTTCCATGCTTCAGCTAAAATAGAGATGCAGAATGAAGACAGAGATGCCAGGCTCTCATCTTGTTTGTAATTATCTGAAAGAATCAATACTTGGCCTGTTTTAACATGTTTATTTATGTGATGTGTGTCTGAAACATATGATATCCTTGTGTGTATCTATTGATATGGTGTTAAGCATTAATTAAAAATAACAATTAAAATATATTTACCAGCAGGGTAAGGTAATCTTTTGATTACAACATATGGCTTTGGGGTAATAATAACACCAATTTTCAAAAACCTAAGAGGATGAAATATGAAATGAGAGGTTTTAGAAATATTATCAACACAGAGACAACATTTTGGTTAATAATAGTGTTTAGCCTCACACTAAGCTGAACTCAGCATTTTTAATAGACTATGTTAAATATTTTAAATATTTTAAAAAGAAAAATAAACTTAGCAGCACAGATAAATAAGCTATAAACAGAGTTCATAGAAATACGCTAACGCCTAATACACAGCATTCCTTTAAGGTAACATTAAAATATAAAATATTCAAACAGGATATTGTTATTACAACTGAAATAGAAGCAAGGGTATGACTATCCATAGATGAGAGAAGAGTATTAATCTATATTTTAACAAGAAATTTGATGTGTTGCTGTAGGAAAAGATGGCTGTTACAGGACTTGCTGGGAACTAGCAAACAGGATTAATCTCTATTCGTCTATCAGGAAGGCTGACAGTGCCTTTGCTGGCTAATTCAGGGTCCTTTATTCAAGTATCAGATGTCTTTGTGATTCACATTATATGGCTCAACAACTTTCCAAGGTTACTGTACTTATGAAGATGAATTATCTGTCACGGCTGAGTGACAACTAAAGTTTTACTACGGGTGCCGAGAAGTAGTCAAAGATCAGCTCCAGTTTGGGGAATAAAATATAAAAATTTCAGACTCCCACACATAAAATCCTAATCTCATTCTGTGCCAGTCAGTGTTCTCTCACTATATGAGTGATCTTAATATGATCAGTGTGTAAGGAAAAGGGTCTTGTTTTGGTTCTTCTGTGTTTAAGGATCCAGCTATGGTCAATCAGTGCCTCTCCTTCGGGTCTGTGTCAAGGCAGCACATTACAACAGAGAGTTCACCTCAATCCAAAAGGTGAACTGAACGAACAGGCCAGGAACAGACTCTCCTTCAAAGCATGCACTCAGTGACCAAGGTCTTTTCCAAAGCCTATGCTGAGTTTTCAACCTGTGAAAATAGAGACAGAACTTTTGGGAAATCTTCTTAGATATTTATGAAACAATCAGTAAGTGTCAATCATCCTTTATAACAATACTCTTGATTTGGCATGAGAAATTTAAATGCATAGCTTAACATGTACTGAGAGTTTAAAAACTGATTTATTACTGTGCATATTTTATATGTAGCTGTAGGACACCTAAGTGGCACTTTTGAGTAAAAGAAATATAATAAATATACTCACCCCTAAAAAACAGAGTATTTCTGACCTTAAATCATAAAATGAACCCAACTTAAGAGTATGAGATAGTAATAACAAACTCAGTGACCTGAGGAAAGGAATAGATGTGATGTGGTATTCCCCTCTGTATTCTGTGAATGTTTTATTATCAATGGTTAACAAAGAAGCTGCTTTAGCCTATGACAGGGCAGAATAGAACTAGGTGGGAAACCAAACAAAGATATATAGAGTAGGCGAAGTCAAAGAGATGTCATGTAGCTGCTGAAGGAGAAAGATGCTGGAACCTGACTGGTAGGCTACAGTCTCATGTTTATGCAAAGATTAATAGAAATGGGTTAATTTAAGATGTAAGAGCTAGCTAGAAATACACCTGAGTCATTGGCCAAACAGTATGTAATTAATACAGTTTCTGTGTGATTATTTGGGTCTGAGTGGCAGGGAAACAAACACCCAGTCTACGTTTACACAGATGAAGGTGTTTGAATGCAACAGTAATTACAGACAACCAATGAGTGGGTAGTGTTATTTAAGTGTGAGTGATATCAAGGGATGATCCAAGGATTCATAAAAATGGGAATTCAAGGCACCATGGGGCAGCAATTTGAGAATCTCAGTGAATACACCGAAGTTAGAGAAAGCAAAGGGAGCCTGGTTCTGAGATTAGGGCAAAGAGAGGGTGGAATAAAATGAATAAGTCCATTCCTTTTACCATCTTCTTGATTACTACTTTCTCTGAGGGTAGGAGTCCCTTATTTTTCAATAAACGACTTCCGGAAGGACATTACACAACATCCTCACATACATATGTGTAAAATTTGTGTGTGTGTGCGTCATACGTCTCTTTTTAGTTTCCATGCTAGTAAATGTAAATAGATACACATACAATATGTTTAGTTACTGGTTTTTCTTCATTGAAGACACCAGGAGATTTCAAGTGTAGATGAAGTACATATTGTTAGACAACATTGACATCAGCATGCATGATGACAGAATTCCATTGTCCTCTGAAGGTAAGTATAAAAAGTGGCATTTTCTGAATAACATGTTTTTGAAAAGTGTCTTCATGTTCCAGGCATCATCTACTGTCAAATAATTGATAAATGGTTGGAGTCACAGCCTTGCCTTGTAGTGTGTACATACACGAGTGAGATGATGAGCAAAAGAAAAACCAGGCTGTGCGGACTAAGTGGGACAAAGGAAGGGATTGCTTGGGGTGAGCTTTGAGGAGCTTTGCAGTGAATGGATGAGCTATAATGGGGAGCAGACCAGCTCCAGCAGAGTTTGTTGGGATAAGGTACTCACAGTACCTTATTTTCATCCAAAATGAATGACATAACAGGTTGACAGTGGCCCGGGTAATCTTAAATGAGATGTCTAAGGCTGGGCAGACATAGAGCTCCTTAGTCTTTGGGGAAGGACCTAATAACCCACCCCACGACTGATACAGACTCATGTCCTTACACACTGAATAAGGGCTGGCCTAGCACAATGTGTGTTTGCTGGAATTCTATCTCCAGATGGGTCCCATGACCCGGGATGAATGTGTGAAGTTAGTGCAATGAAGAAACTGTGACTCCCTGTTTCAAACAAGTGGCCCTGGGTAGCCTGGGCCATTTTATTTATAGAGTTTTAATGGTTTGCTTGAATAGTTTTGCATTCAGATTTGTTCCTCAAAGTTTCTAAAAACGGTTACAGTAATTTCCAATTTGTTTCTTTGCTTTTTTTCACCTTCTGACCCCCAACTTTTCCCACTAGTAACCATTACCTATGTCATCTATAGCTCTAATGTTAGAAGTATAAGCAGTGTTGCAAGCTGCAAAGGAAGTTTTCTAACCTGACACGCCCACAGGTAGAACAGTGTGCCCTGCTGGCAGCCTTTCTGTTACAGTGTTATGCAGGGGAGAGACAGTTTTGTCTCTAGAGGTTAATATCCACATCTGTTAGGGTCTGAGTCCTCA